AAATGAAATGAAAATGTACATGCTTCATTTACATCATTGCTGTAGGATAAGGTTGGAGATGATGGGTTCAGTATGCAGGCTGCCCCAGGGAGAAAGGACTACCTGGCCCTTTTTCACTGCAGAGAAACACCTCTCCATGGCTGTTGCAGTTCCAGTGCGCACAGCCAGGAGAGAGGTGCATGTTCCCCAGCTGGGGCAGGTCCAGGTTAATTTGCCTCTTGTGCTCCCCAGCCTGAGCAAGGAATGCAGCAAACTGCATTTTCCCCTCGTTCCTGACAAAGGGGAACAGCTATCAGTGCTCCTGTATGAATCGGAAGGGGGAGAGCTTCAGCCCCCTTGCCCTCCTTAAAGGGAGATGTGTGTTCAGCAATTCCTACCCCTGTCCCCCACACACAGCCAAACCTTTACCTTGCTTTACGTTATGATAAGAGAAGCTATATACCAAATTTGATGGTCCTAGTTCTCACTGTTTGGGAGTTCTTGAACAAATGGATAGATGGACAGACAGACAAACTCTCTCAAATAATATATATATATATATATATATATATATATATATATATATATATATATATATATATATATATATATATATATATATATATATATATATATATATATATATATATATATATATATATATATATATATATATATATATATATATATATATATATATATATATATATATATATATATATATATATATATATATATATATATATATATATATATATATATATATATATATATATATATATAAAGCAAGCAAGCTAGGGAGATGTGAACTAGATGAAATTACTATAAAGTGGGTTTCCCAACTGGTTGAAAGACCATACTAAAAGATTAATTATAAAAGGTTTGGTGTCAGAGTGGGAGGATCTGTCACATGAGGTCCCCCAGGACTGGTCCTATTCAATATTTGTATTAATGACTTGGATAATGGAGAGGAAAGTATGTTTATAAAATTTGAAGGTGACACCAAGTTGGGAGGGGTTACAAGCACTGGGAAGGACAAGTTTGGAATTCAAACAATCTTGACAAATTGGAAAATTGGTCTGAATTCAACAAGGTGAAATCCAGTAAACGCAAGTGCAAAGTCCTTCACATAGGAAGGAAAAAATCATATACAGTAAAACTCCAATAGTCAGCACTCCCGATAGTCCGGCATCAAAATGGCAAGAGCCTAGTGAGTGAGCTTCGGCAAAAAACGAGTCACAAGGCAGCAGTGGCAGGCGGCGGAGTCAGTCGGCCACTGACATTGTGTGATGCTGGACAGTGCTTGTGCTACAATAAAAAGGGTTAAAAACACTTTACATAAAGTATATACTGTGTGTGTGTGTGTGTGTGTGTGTCTCTCTCTCTCTCTCTCTCTCTAGCTATATAAAACCAGCTTATAATACTTATAGTACCTCCTGATAGTCCGGCATATCCACCTAGGTCCCAAAGGTTCCAGATTATCGGAAGTCTATTGTATATAACAAATGGGGAATAATAGGCTAGGTGGTATTACCGCTGAAAAGGATCTGGAGGTTACAGTGGATCACAAGTTCAATGTAAGTCAACAATATGGTGCAAGTGTGAAAAAAACTATTACAATGATAAAGGCAGCAAAGGGGGATGGTGGGTTGGCACCACAGAGACAGTGCTGGGGAGAACTGGCTTTTAATCCGGCTCCCCCCAGCATCAACTCCTGGTTTCCCCACTTCCCCCCCCCCCCTTATAGAGGCAGCAAGGGGGAGGGGGAAATGCGAATAGTCAAGTAGTCAACTTGATTACCCAATAAGCCTAGGTAGCCTCTTGCCCACCCCGATCTTTAGCAAAGAAGCCTGATAACTGTCTTTAAATATGTTAAGGATTGTTATAAAGAGGACAGTGATAAATTGTTCTTCTTGTTCATGAAAGGACAAGAAGTGATGTGCTTGATCTGAAGCAAGGAATATTTAGATTAGATATTAGGAAAAGCTTTCCAAGCTCTGGAATAGGCTTCCAATTGTGAAATCCTCATCATTAGAGGTTTTTAAGGACAGGTGAGAAAAAAAATCCGTCAGGGACAGGCTAGGTTTAATTGGTCCTGGCTCAGCACAGAGGGCTAGACTAGTTAACCTCTTAAGGTTCCTTCTGGCTCTATATTTGTAAGATTCTATGAAAAAACAGCCTTTGCCCTTTCTGTCTTCTGTTTCCAATGAGCTTCTAGATCCTAAATTGGGAAATAGGGGTGTGTCTCTACTACTGTAGTATCTGTCTCAGGCTAGATCTATACCATAGCCTTTTTTTTCTTCGGAAAAAGCTCCGCAAATATCTAATTTGACATATTTTATATTTTTCTGTAATAGATAACCTGAAAGCCTGCACACTGCATTCCTTGCATAATTTAGTTTGTCATTTTTATCCATATATCACTTTCCATGTATCAGTTACTTGGATATTTTCTTGGCTTGCCAGTTGATTAAAAAATTTATGGCTTGAACTAGTGAATGCAGGTGTGTTGAAATTAAAATAAATTGGCTGCAGACAAAATGTTAAGAACAGAATACATGAAATCGCATCAGTACAGAACTCTTAATACACTGCTGCACATTTTGAAATAGAAGTGAGATAACTTTTTCCCCTCTTAGTTGTGCAGGAGAGAGGACAGCAAAAAGACTCTATTTTTAGTAGAGGACATAGGGATTTCTGTTTTGTGTATTCAAATACAGAAGTTAATCAGTAACTTTCTGAAAAGAGAGAGAGATTTTTTGCCTTAATTTGTGTTTTTCTCGCAAGTGCTAGAGAATACTTTCTGCATTGCTAAGACCTGTAAAGATATCCAAAATAATCCTCCCTCCAATCAGCTCACAGAGTGGTAGTTTATCATTACTTCCATAAGCCTTTTAGCGAAGATAAAATATAGTTGTGGTTTAAAATCAGATACGTCCTGTATTGACGAGGCGGAAGGATGACGATGGGGAGACAAGAAATATATCCTGTCATTGCAGGAGGGGATGGAACTCTGTTCTAATATTGTCTTTCTCATTTCTAATTCTTGTGAGAATAGTACCAGTGGGCCAAGCCTCGCGCAGTGGCAACAGCAAGAGAGATACATAAATGCTGGAGTTCCTGGTCAGCCATTGTGCAGTGTTTTAGGGATTGGGTTGCCTGCCATAAAGGCAGAAGCTAGGAAGAGTGGAGGATGAACAGGTTAGAGGAATAAAGAGAAGTTTAGAAACTTAGGGGTATGGTTGCATGGAGGGTTTTTGAGACAGGAGAAATAAGGGCGTCATAGGTTTGGAGTGGACATCTTCCTGCTTAATCTGTTGCTTGCGGCATTGAAGAATGGATAAAAGTTACCCTACCAGATCAGGCTAGCAGTCTCTATAATCCAATAGTTTGTCTTTGGCAGTGGCTCCAGTACAAAGACTTCAGAGGAAGGGGCTAGTTACTCCATAGTGGACAACTGGGAATAAGCTACTCAAAGGAAAATTTCTGTTTTAATGCCTGTTGCTTATGCTCTGAAACACGAAGATTTGTATCTTTTAAACAAATATATACATCTGTTCTCTTTAACATCAACTATGGATGCTGTCACCCATGTAATCCTTTGTTGAATACTATCAAAATCTAAGTACTTGTTAATTTGTGTTGAGATGTTACACTCATGGCTTGGCTTCAGGAAAACCGGAAAGAGTATCGTGCTCTAACTCGTCTACTTGGTTCTTGTTTCTAATTGTCGCTGACTCAAGTGAGATAGGATTACAAGAAGTTAGCTATCTTGCTAAATTCTGATTTTGGATTTACTGCCAAGTAGAACGTGGAAACTGAATTAGCCTATAGTGATTCTAGCAGGAGGGGCGTTCAGAAAAAGACATTGCTGTTGTTTTTTAAATCTGCTGAGTGATAGTCTAGAAGTGTTTCCTAGGCATCTTTAAGTAGGCTTATGGTAAGCAGTTTTCCAATTACAATCTCTCTCCTTTAAAACAAACAAACAAAAGGAACATGAATTTAAGCTACAACATAGTATATTTTTAAATCTGATCATATTGTTCTGTATTTGATGTTAAAAGAATGTATGTATAACATAACAAAACCTATGTTGCATTCTTTTTTCTAATATACTTCAGACTTGTCCAAAACATGCAAGGAATTAAATGTTTCTACAATAGTTTGAGCTATGATAGGTAGAAACCTGTTCATATTCTCAATGCTAAGAAAATGGTGTGACTCTTTCATGAGCTTTTGTAACTTAACATTTTGCTGGCAAAGCATTAACTCCCTGATTTTGGTTCTGTTCAATTTTGGTCAGTCTTTCATCCTAACATATTATTTTTCTTCTGGACCATGTAAGGATCAAAGTTGGATGTCTCAAGATGTAAAGAAACTTACAAAATTGGCAGAGAAGTGTAGAGGAGGGGGAAATGAAAGTTAATGAAACAGAAAATGATAAAAAAGAAATGGCTGTATAAATTGGTTCTATGTAAAATCAGTGTAATCGTTTAATCTTTGCCAGAAGCATAGCTAAAAGTACAAAATAAATTGACAAATCTTTTAGATAGTAAGTTCTATTGCGCAGGGCCATTCACGTTTGGATGCTATAGAAAATGAATAATTATCTCTTTCTGTGTTGAAAAGGGAAATTTGAAACTCAACTGAGGGATCATCTTATTAATAGAGGACAATTTCTGTGTTCTCTATCTTACAACTCACTTTTGATGCAGTTGCCTTTTAAGTCCCTTTTTGTATGTTTATATATATTACTGCATTAAATGATTACACTGATTTTACATGAAATTCTTTTATATGGAAATTATTTCCCATTTGTAAGATTTCTTGCCTCGTTAACTTTTGTTTCCTCTGGCACACCATAATTCTATGCATATGTATAAATTCTTAGATAGTTCAAGATACTAAAGGACATTTAATAATTTAAAAATTACATTAAAATAGTGAACTTCTATGTAATTTTGATGATTTCTTTGCTTGAAATCTCTGTTAAGTTTTGCACTGTCTGTTTCAATAACTAGGAGCGACAGCGGCTGGAAACCATCCTCAACCTGTGTGCTGAATATTCCAAACCTGATAGCAATCCTGCTGGTGCTACCACTGTTGCTGATGTTCAAAAAATTAACAAAGAACTTGAAAAACTTCAGCTGTCAGATGAAGATTCTGTGTTTGAAGATTCTCAAATTAATCCAGAAACAAGATTTAGAAACCACTTGAAATCATCAGCAAGTGATTCTGATTTCTCAGAATGTAGTAATCTCAATCCAAGTACTTCCACTTTCCTTTCCTCTAGAGGGATTAGAGCTGATGAGCACTTCAGTGACAATATGAAGACTCCTGCTTTAGCTTCTTCTGCCTTTTTGAAGGGTTCCAATGAGTCTTCTTATCTAAGTATCATTCCAAAGGTAAGACCTTGAGAAATGAACCTCACATATTGTGAACCACTGGTTGAAATTTTCCAGTTGAATCTGTTTTTATAGTGGAAATCAGAAGAAATTTGTTTAAATATTAGTTTTAATCACATACTACATCTGTATGAACTGAAATGTTGGTGATTTTGTTTCCTATATAAGCTGTTTAAGTACTTTTCCCAAGTGATAAACTGTACACAAGGAAGTTTTTAAAAGGAAAAAACAGGTGGAGGGAGTTGTTAAATATCAGTATTAAATTATTTCAATAAACAGACTTTCAAAATCCTATAGAGTTTGGGTTTCATGAGCAAAATTAGTTTATAATTGTTGTCTTGTCACCAGTGTAAGAATTCAGGCTTGTTGCCAGAAGTGGAGGAATCACATAACGTTTCTCCTCCCTTGCATTGAGATTTCTGCCTACAGTAAAATGACCAGATTTTTCTGATCAACTAACCAGAATACTTGTAAAGGGGAGGCAGAAAAGAATCGCTTGGTTGAATTTACTTCTCCATACCTTTTTCTTATTCTGAACAAGGACATTGCTCTACTCAACATGTTGTCCATTGTGAAATGTACTGTGACCATCTACTTATTCACACATCACAAAATCTGTCCAAGGATCTTCTCCAATAATCACTTGATATTCTCTAAGAAATTACTTCACAGTATTCTCTATTCATGTAAAAATGTAGTTTTATAAGTTAAATTCCATTGAATGAGCCAATTTAATTTAGAATTATTTTCATGTAAAAACTCAAGATTTCTATTCCAGGGAAAACTCTACCATTTTGAAAAAAAAATCCATAGTATTCCCTCAGAAAGGATTTTTAAAAATACAGAAAAATCAGTATTTTAGTTTAGATTTTTAAAAATGAAACCAGTCTCCAGCCTCTTCCCTCTCCAACCTACCCCCAAACTCCAGGGGACTCCCCACCAGGATTTTGGAGTTTCAGGAGCAACAGGGAGCCTGGAAGCCCAAAAGCCCTGGTTCTGTCAGACTGTGTATCAATAAAAAGTTAATTGAAATGGAAACATTTCCATGAAACATCTTGGTTTTGATGAATGAGCATTTTCTTGAGTTGAAAAATTCCCAAGGAGCTTTGTTGTCATGTTAAGACTATCAGTTCAAGCAATCAGGTCTGTGGCCAGAAGAGGAGGAAAGAACTGGAATCTTCTCATTCTTTCCTCCATGAAATATGCACCATTATGGAAATGTTCCTACTGGGCTCTGATTTTTTTTAAGAGCTTATTTTTTCAAAGCATAAATTCTCAGCTAAAACCATGTGCGGTCCATGGGCCGGAGATTCTCAACTCCTGTCTTAAGGGGAAAAAAGAATGCCACTTTTCTAGACCTCTTTCTTCTGAGCCTTTAGGAATAACAGTGTTTTAAGAAAACAATTCCTTGTAGCTACACCTTAATTAGCATACTGATTCTCTTCTTTATTTGAAATTTTACATTAAAACATTTCATGTGCAAATTATTGTGCTCTTGAAACTCTCCCATGCCCATGACTGTTACTTTCCATAAATGAATTATCCTATTTTTAATCTCTATTGGGAAGTTGAAATTGAAGATGTTATGTTAGCATTAGCCAAACAGGATACCGGACAAAAAGAGGCTTTCCTGCTAGGATTACTAGCACTAGTAAGGAAGACATACCATTCATTCATGGTAAAGTGTGTTGTGCTAAAGGAAGAGAAGAGCAGTAACAGACACCTGAGTGTTAATGAAATGCATTTCATTGTTCTCAAATATCAAGGTCAGATTTTCACATGATCTCTTGTTAAAATGTCTGCCCTAGAATAGTAATTAGGTAGTTGAGCTTCACTGGGTTTTGAAGAGGGCCATATGGTCTATCAGTTAAAGCAAGGAACTGAGAGCCAGGATCTGATTCTAATTCCTTCTGGAGACAATTAATGAGTAACTTTAAAAACTAATTTGACCCCAGTGCTTTAGTCTTTAGAAAATAGGATAATTTCCAGAGCCTTTGAAAACTGGTTGCTATTTCAGAGCTAGACTTTTCTCGGTAAAATAAACTCCAAGAATATTTTTAGCATAGCCTTTTATATCTGTCATTGTCCAGTAAATTAGGCGAGAGAGAGGAGTTTTACCAGCAAACTTTGTTATGCTGACTGTGCACCCATGTCACAAAAGCTGCTCATTTTCACAGTTGCTTATGACATGCTTTAACATCCAGGTTTTTGTTATACATAGAACGTAAGTATACTTTAAAAGGAGAAGTGTATCTTCCTGTACCTGTTTTATGTTGGAAGAGATAACTTTAGCTTCTTATGACCAAAATAACACTATGAAGCATCTGAAGAATATAGCTAACAGGGAGAGTTAATGAGAAAAGACTTTGGGACACTGAGCTTCATACTGTACAATACTTAGGAGTGAAGTGTCAAAAAGCAGAGTTCTTGGCAATGCAATAATTGTTTAAAGTAGTTGAACACAGAGTAAGAGGGAGAAGAAAAATGTTCTTTTTTAGAATTCTATTTATAAATACCGTCAAATGACTAATTGCAGACACCAGAATGCGCAAGTGATGAGCAAAGAGGACAAGAGGTTGGTCGGCTGGAGGAAGAACGCATAGCAATACTAAATAACTTAGAGGAACTTGAACAGAAGATCAAAGATTTAAATGACCAGATGGATGAGTCTTCAAGAGAGGTATCAAGAAATGAGATTTTTATCACATATTTCGATTTTAAATGTCATACTCATTAAAGAGCTAAAATTGTACACATATATATGTGCGTACATATGCGTGTGTGTGTGTGTGTGTGTGTGTGTGTGTGTGTGTGTAAGTAAAAATAAACAGGAGTCTCATGCATTCACATACCCTTCGAATCCTCGCCTTTCGGCCAAAATTAAGTGCAGTATCATATTAACTGATATTTCTGTACTATGGAGACTATTTTCTTCCCTTGCAGGAAGCTAGATAACATGATCTATTTGGCCTTTTCTAGCTCTATCTGCTATGCCCCTAGATGTAGTTAGTATAGTCCCGAATATTGAATGGTTGCTGGATTCATCTGAGTATCTTGTCTCCCTTGGGAGTATTGTATCTCATGTAGCCATTTAAAGGGTAAGGATGTGAGATAACTTCTTTTTAAAACGCCTCACCCTTGTGTCGCAAGACTATGGAGCACTGTTCATTTCTGGAATCTCACACTTGCAAATCAAACTGTATGGGCCCTAAGTTGTCCTGTCTCCAATTAGCAACAGCAGGAAAGAAGCAGCTGTTCTAAAAGTGTTCAGTGCAGAGCCTGGCACAAGCAGTATGTACAGTATCATGCAGAAGGAAGCAAAGAAGAGCCGGAATTGAAAATAAGTTCTGAACAAATTACATTTACAAGTTGGTTTGGTTTATGATTCAATATTTTATGGTGAGGTTTTTCTTTTTACATACTTGTGAGCTCTTTGTAACCTGTAGAAGCTCATGCTTCATGGCATCAACGCTGCTTTTTAAAATTTAACCCCCAAAAAACTGTACGAAGATTTCTTTGTAACCTGGACTGCTTCTGAGAAATGTTTTGTGTTCCTAGCTGGATATGGAATGTGCTCTTTTGGATGGGGAACAGAAATCGGAAACAACAGAACTTCTGAAAGAGAAGGAAATATTGGATCATCTAAACAGGAAAATAGCTGAGCTAGAGAGAAATGTTATTGGTGAAAAGACAAAGGTAATCTTCACTTATTTTGTGTTATTTAGTCTTTGATCTTCAAAGTATATTAAAATTATTAACATAAAAGAATATTTGTAACATGCACTTGATTTATTATATGGTAGAAAATAGTGATCTCAAAAACTTCACCTTTAGAATGCACTTGTTTGTAAAGGTATGTGATCTTGGATTAACAATATGATGTACTAGCATAGGAAGACCTAATTTGTTGAAAAAGTAGATGAGATACTCTGTGTGCACTACATGCCAGGTAAAGCAGAGTGAATGTTGGCTGTGCAGTCATGACACACCATTTATCACATGCTTTTTGGATTACTATAGTCTATTGTGGTTATTTCATCTATTGTTAAAAATATGGTATTAATTTGACATTTCCACAGCCTTTCATCATGTTTTTTGTTTCTAAAATGTATTACATTAGAATCTCTTTCTCTCTCTCTCAAAAAAAGAATATTTTTCCTTCCCAGCAAAGAAATATAAGAACAGATTGCTGTAGTTTGATGATTGATACTTCACTTATTAAATACACAACAACATATATTATGCAGAATGATAAATACAGTAGACTTCCGATAATCCGGCACCTTTGGGACCTAGGTGGTACCGGATTATCGGATATGCCGGAGTATCGGGAGGTACTCCGGCCGGGGGCTGTGATGGGTCTGCCGGGACCCGAACTGCGTCCGGGGGGGGGTGGGCAGGGAACGGCGCAGTGAAGGGCGAACCCTCCGCCGTTTTGCAGAAAGGCGGGGGAAGCTCCGTGCCGCCGCCAAATGTTTCCAGGAGGGGAGCAAGCTCTCTACTCTCTAGACTTCAGTAGTTATCGTGGAGCAGGGGGGTGAGGGGCGGCGCTGCAGGACCAACCCGGCAGCACCCCAGCTGCTCTGCTCTGCAGCTTCCCCAAGTCTGCCGCTCGTCAGTTTTGGCAGTGGCGGACTTGGGGAAGCGGCGCTACTATGTGTGCTCTGTACTATGTGTAGTATGACTACTGCTTCAGAACTCGTTGGACACCATGGGTTTAGTGTGTTTTCCGGTCCATATGTCTTCTCTTGGAAGATGTTACATCTCACTGTCAGGAGGTTTTCCTGGATATTTAGCCAATAACTATTATTTTCTGAATTTCATCCCATAACTCAGAGTTTAAAATGGTCTCCCTGGAACTATTCTAAATAATCTCCATCTTTTAGTCACTTGATTAGTGTTCTGTTCATTTGGTTTTAGATTTTGTTCCTTGGATGGTCACCTGAAAAAGGATTCGTTGAGTGAACCTTTCAAAGTTCCCTTGTGTTGCTTAGTCAATTTTAGTTCTTGTTAACTTTCCTTCTAAATCAAGCCAATATCCCCTAGTAACTTTTGTTGATTTTCTCTCAACTCTCTTCCATCATTGCTGTCTGTTATGTATTGAGCCTAAAATTGTTCCTCCTGCCTCCTTGTTCTGCAAAGTGACACATGTAAATGTGCTTAAACTTTATTAGGCTTCCCTACCTGCTTGCTTCCTCAGGTCTGCGCTTACTTGATATGTCAGTGCTGCTGCAATTTTTGAGTACAGCTCAAGTTTCTTTAGTCATATCTTTAATCTGAGCATGGAATCAGTTTGATAGGTTTTTATTCATTGCCCAAAGGTCAGTCTAAATCTGGTTACTGGGTGGGCTTCAAGTGAAATGGTGATAAGTCATGACCATGTAAACAGCTTCACAAAGGATGCTACCCAGGGAGTTTAGGTTCTCCGACGATATGGCATGAGCCCCTTAAATATTTGGATAAGTAGATAGAAATACAATGTTTTTGAACTTTCTATCATGCTTGTTCTCTTTTAAACCTCAGACTGTATGACAAATAGAAATTATGCTCCTTCCCCCCATGTTTTCACATTTTTGTAATACAGTAAACTTCTGATAATCCGGCACCTTTAGGACCGAGGGGGTGCCGGATTATCAGATTTGCCGGACTATCGGAAGGGGGGGGCTATGAGGGATCTGGGGTGCAGTGGGGATGCCGCC